GGGGCGGCTTACAACATCATGAGCATCTTGTTGATTACTCACCACATCCTTAGTTTGAAGGTGCACAGTGTCCAGCCCCACTTCCAGATCAACTGATTCCCACCTTCATTGGACTTCATGTATGGAAGAGGCCTCAGATAATGTTTGCAGAGGGTCAAGGTGTTAAGTGGAATGTATCTTCCTTCCAGTTCACCCTTTCTCTCCTAGAATGAGGCTTCTTCAGAAATGTGTGCTTCAATCCCAAAACAAGGCTCTCAAGATGCAGGATAGGCAGGTGAGGGGAAGCATGGGTTTCGAGAAACAGATGCCCCGTTACCATTTTCAGGAACATCCCTGCAAATGGCCAGGTTTTAGCCACATATTCTGAACAGCGTGCAGGGTTGATTTTGGTATCAGTCATTTCAGTGTCACTTGCTTCCTCACACTGCCTTCTTGGGTTTTCCAGGTCTCATCAGTACTCCGTGGCTTTTTAGACTTGATGCTGGTGCGGGAGCCTTCACAGAGAGGCACAGCGCAAGAACTGCTGAGGCATCCATTTCTGAAACTGGCTGGGCCTCCTTCGTGCATCGTGCCTCTCATGAGGCAATACAGGCACCACTGAAGGTGGCCGTTTTGGTTCATTGAAATTGTCTTTTCCTGGGAAGGTTTGCACAGAAGTGGAGCAAAGCAAGAAAACAGAAAGCACCAGGGAGCACAGCAACTGAAAAACAGACACCTGATGCCGTGACTCAACAAAGGAGACTTCTTTGGGTTTATGAAGAGATATCTTTGCTTGGAAACCAGAGATGTTGACAGCTAATCCTCCTGTGAGGATGTATGTTCCCCAGGCAGCCCCTGTTTTTAGTCTGTCAACTAAGAGAACAAGGAGATGTTCTTTCACATCCCACCTGAGAGGAAGGAAGAAAGGAAAAGCTTGTAGCACAACCCAGGTGGAACACCCAAGTTTTATTTTAAAACCGACGCAAAACAGCACTTCTATTTCAGAAGAACACTTTTTTTCTGACAAAAAAGAGAGAGAGAGATGCACTTTTTATCTCAGTTGTAGCAGTGTGATGTATTTTGAAATGAATTTGTAATTTTCTGTACATTGTTTTTGATAATTTCCAGTACTTTGATGTCATAGTGATAGTGCTAACGGAGGTGATAGGTGTAACTTAGTAAGCATTTGAGTGAGATCTTTCCTACTTTTGTATCTGTTTTGAAGAGAAAGGAAAACACAGACACAAAGATATTTATTCACAATTCAGAATGTTGAAGAGACTTTCTCTGTGCTAGTTAAACATCCACCTCCATTTTTGTAAATGTTCAGATGCCTCAGCAGCATCAAACCCTTTTCCCCATTGAACTAATAATTAAAGATTTCCAGTGTTGTCCTGAAGATATAGGTACCTTGAAAAAGGAAGAAAAGAAAAACCTCAGGTACTAACCCCAAGGGCTGTTTTGCATCTCCTTATTTTTCATGGGAAAAGAGCAGGTATTGCCCAGTGGTAGAAAACAATTGGCAGCCACAGAAAAAGCCAAGCGAAGACTTGCTGGTCAGGAGCTAAGCTCACTGTTGGAAGGTTACAGTCACCCCTTAAGTGTGAAACTTGGACCTATGTATTGTATGCCATGGCTGTTGGAGGAGGTGGCTTTTGCTAAAGTGACCAGTGTCTCCCTGTGATCCTTGGCCTCCCGGTTTCTCACCATGACTACATTGCATGGGCATCTAACTAAGTAATATTTTACTTCTGTTCAAATTCTGGCCTCTCAAGCATTAGCCTGCATTTATGGTGACCCCCTATAACTCTTGATCACCAAATCAAATGCAGCTTCCCACCCATCATGCGCTATAGCTTTCTGGAGGAAACACCTCCTGTGTTTGTTCCTGCCTACAGTATGTCTGCCTACACAAACAGGTGGCTGTTAAGCAAACACAGCACTTGGAAATGTTATTTCGAGGACAACAAATTCCAGAATTCCCCAGCCAGCGGTCATGCCAGCTGATTGATTCTGAAAGTGACAATGCTGGCTGGCAAGATTGTGGGAGTTATAGTTGTAAAAACAATGCTTCCAAACTCAGATTGCAAGCTACCATAGATGGGGGATGGGCTGTGTTCTGTTTGGTGAGCCCAATACAAATTGTGCAACAAATTTGTACACAGATCGCACTTTAGCAGCAACAAAAGTAGAAGAACAGCCTCCAATTGCAGCCTGCACCGTGCTTCAGGAGTTCCACTTTCACACCACTGTTCCAACATAGGCTCTGTGTATAGCAGCTTACCTCCAGAAGAGCGTCGCCAGCGAGCAGTAAGGACACAACTTCATTTTACTGTGTGCCAACTTCAGTGCCACCAGATTAAGTCTTCACTATTTCCATTTATGCTTTGGAAATCAAAACACTTGACTCAAGACATCCAGCCACTGGGTGCAGATCTTCCAAAATTGAAGCGTTGGAAGATTCTGTTGATGTGTTTGCCATACAGGGGAAAATACTGTCTAAATCTTTTTTTGGAATGTTAATTCAGCAGAAGCTACTACAACCAGTTTTGTGTTGCTTGTTGGGTAGATTTGCATGTTTACCATAGGCCTATAGAGATTTGCCTTTATAAGTGCTTCATTCTTTCAAGGATAAAGAGGTTTATTTATTTATTTATTATTATTTTTAACTTAAACATATTGAGGAAAGCCATGTATTTTCCAAAGTTTTTGTTGTTATAATTGAGTTCACTTGAAAAATGTCTCTGACTATAAACTGAACAAATCTGGTTAGATCATTTTGCATTGTAGAGAGTTTCTTCCCCCCCCCATAAATAAGTTGGTCATATCCTGTTGTAATAAAAGAAAATCAAAACAAAAAATGGAGAAGACTATTCATTCCAGATTGCTGTTTCCAGTTGTAATGAATACAGCCCTTTATTCCTTAACAAAAATAGTGTATTTAAAAAAAATAAAAGCAGAGAGAGAGAGATGCTCTTCTATTTCCTTAACAAGCAGTGGTGCAACACAATTGTATGTGTTCATATCTGAGTAGGCCATTACTGCTGTATGATTATTAGAGCTGTAGGGAAGTATAGTACATCCATACATGGGTAATTTTAAGATTACGCAATAATTTATCAGAAAAGCTCATTTTAGTGTACAGTATTACACTTCTGTTTTTTTTGTTTGTAGAAAGTAAAAGTCTTTGGCCTTGCATGAGTAACTGTAGCCCTTGTACTTTGATTTGTTAAGCCTTCAGGCCACATTGCAAAGCTGTGACAATGGCTGCCTGCAACATCTGGATTGAGGTGTAACGCCTAGGCACAACCATTGCCTATGGGATGCCTCATCAGCTCCTTGAAGGACTGCCTTGCCCTCGGATGTGTCTCTGTGTGTACTTGAAAGGCAGGAAGGGGAGCAACCTTGTAATTCTGGCTATCGAACTGTCCTTCCCTGGCTGTACTGCATCAACTTGTGCACCGACTAGGGCAATCTGCCACTTTGTGCCTGAAGAAGGTGTTGCAAGATTTGAACACAGAGAACACATTAAATTAAAATTTATTACACTAAGATCTTCTTAGTAATTATGCACGTTTCAGTTGTCCAAGTTTCATGATTCTTCAGCTGTGGCTCTGACAGATACACATTATAGTTTTTTTAAAAATATAATTATAAACAAATGCCTTGATCTTATGAACAACTGAAATAGGGTCTTGAACTTCAGACCCAGCATCAACTTGGACAATAGCAATGCATCCTATGTTATGCCAAGGATGGTACAGTTTATAGGATGTGTTTTGTTTTCTGCTGTTCTGAGTACCAGAACCAGGTACTTACAGTCCTTCCGCTAAAAAGGTACTCTTGATTACCTCAACCTTTATTTTAGCAGTATAATAAAAAATGGTGTGGTGGTGAGATGTTGCTGTTGCTAAAGAACTGGGTCAGAAACTCTTGTGCTGCAAATAATTTACAGTCTATCCAGATTCAGATCTGGCTTCTTGCCAGCCCTGTGGTATACCAGTGTTTTTTCCTAACAATGTATTCTTGAGCACTAACCCACTATACTGCATAGCATAGCTTCTCCTCCTCTGCCACTTCCTGACCTCTTCTTCCTGCATGCACTTAATTTCTCAAACCTTCCTCTTTTTTTTGACCATCTGAAGTTGTTTATGGGGATAGCAAATGTGACTTCATTCTGGCAGCAAGCAGTAAATGTATAATGCAGAATTTGCCTGCCTGTGTTAAGATGAAATTACTAAAAACTGGGAGAATGGGACTTGGAGTGTAACAATTCAGCGGCATAACACATTATAGTACCTTCAAACCAGTCTGATGGCTTGGATGATGGCTTCCTAAATCAGGTTGCCATACATTCCAAAAGGACAGAATAGTAACACAATAATGGGCGACTTCAGCTACCCTGATATCTGTTAGAAGCCAAGCTCTGCTAAGAGAGTGAAATGTCCAAAAAAAGAGAGTCTCCTTTGTCTTGCTGAAAAACGTATCTTTCAGAAATCGGAAGTGACAAGGGGATTAGTTAACCTTTAGTTGTCACCAAGAAGTTAAAATTCATCAATGAGATGAAAATAGAGGGAACTTCAGATGATGATGTCCTCTTCAAATCTTGAGGAAAATGGGTAGCCAATATTTGTAGAAAGAAGGTCAAAAGGAGTGAAGCTCAGAATGATCTCAGACAAGAGAAATTAACTTAGCAAAAGGTTTTCAGCCTCTGCTTGGAGAAGGAGGAAGAACAAAGAGGTGGTAGATCCATGATGTGGAAAGGATAAATGCTTGTAGAATGTGAAGAGAAGGCAAAGCTCCTCAGCACCTGTTTTAGCTCTGTCTTATCCCAAAAAGGAAAACAGGGCTCAACCAAGTGCAAATAGAAAACAAGTGACAAAGAGAGGGCTGCCATCCAAGAGAGGTAAAAAGGTGGTACAGGAATACCCACCTCCTTAACATGAACTGAAGTCTCCAGGGTCAGATGAACTGCATCCAGGAGCACTAGAGGAACTGGCAGATGTGATATCAGAGCCTGTGGGTAAACTCTGAGAATTCTTGAAGAAATTCTGAGAATTCTTGAAAATCTAGCCTCTGCCAAATTTTATCATGGCACTTGGGAAAGTTCCTCCTCTGGACTGCAACTCCCAGATTCCCATAGCCACTGTGGATTCATACTGCAAATATATTCTAAACATTTTCAAGCTCTGAATCTCTGGAACATTCCTGAGGATTTTACAACTGATTTGGATAGTTTTTGTTGATCGAACTGAGTTGTGGAAAAGGAACTTGACTTCAGTTGTTTGGAGTGCAGCTTGTAGGAATGCCATCTTCCAACCATTAAAACTAGGGCTGTAAGGGAGAGAGAGCACCTGTTCTCTAATATTTCAGAGCCAAATCATGAGGCCAGAAGGATGATCCTTGTGGTGTCACAGAGGTAGGCAGGGAAGGGGGAGCATTCCAGGCTTTCCATCACTCCTGAGAGGCATTGTGTAATAAGAAGGCTCATCCGTCACAGTACAGGTGTTTCAGTCCCTGGTTGTGCTCCAAGTAGCATGATGGGCCTCACACTGACATGCCAAGCAGCCAAAAGAGAGGGAAAGGAGCAGGACAGAGAGCTGGTGAGTGCCTGTACTTGAACCTATTGGGCCATTTCTATCTATCTATCTATCTATCTATCTATCTATCTTACATAGAGAGAGAAACCACTGAGCCAGTCAGCCTGGTTGGAAAGGGTGCAGATGGGTGCTTGACCATTAAAGTATTATCCTCCTCTCTGTGCAGATTTTTCTCCTTGTTCTGTACAACTCATCATGAGATTTATTGCTCTGCTTGGAAATTTGGAGGTGGCCAGCAATGCCCTGAGACTTCAGCCACTGTCCTGACACTTGGTCATCCTAATTCCAAGTTGTCCTATCATATGGAGGAGGACCTAATGCTGCCAACATGTAAAATAAGAGGAAGAATTTAGCAGAAAAGAAATAATATTGAGGCTGCTATTGAAAGTTTAAATTAAAAACTGACGGTTCCTTTTAGAAGACCAGGAAAGACTTGGAAGATACCTTCTTCAACATAATTCATCAAATTTCACCAAATTCTTCAAAGAGACAAAAAGCAGTTGTGTGTATACTGACGCTACGAGGCCTAGAAGGAGTTCCACCCGAGTGGATTTGAGTACACAGCTGGCCTAGGAATTTTATGTAGTGGCTTCTTCCTTACATTTATTCCTCTGTTATGTAGCATTTTGTTGTGGTGAGTAGCATTTTCACTTAGTGGATTGTCAGGAAAGCTTGGACAGGCTGACAGCCACCCAAGGGTCATAACAGGGAAGTGTCGTTGTCTAGGCTGGGCTGTCAAAGTCCCTGATGATCCAGTGGCATGGCCTCTGTCCTGCCTCCTGGATAAAAATACAGTAGATGGAAGTCTGACTATCTGGCCTTAAATTCTGCTGGACAGTGATTTTTGGGATGGTGAAATCTGTCAGGTCCACGTTCTTCAACATTTCAATGTTTTTAAACCTCATGTTGTTTCCATCCTGTATATGAAGAAACATTGTGCATTTCAATAAAGTCTTTAAATATGAATCAAAAGGAAATTCTCACCGGCTGGCACCAGACAAGAGGCACGTCTCTTTCTAGATGGTGAGACTCATCACATTGGTTCTTGACATGTAGTTGTTATAGATAAGAAGCCAAGATAGTGGTGAAGGAGAAGGTGGTGATGGAGGTGGAGGAGGAGGAGGAAGGAGATGGAGAGGAGGAGGAGAAGGAAGCAACAACAACATGGCAACTCTAATTCAGCACCAAAACTGCTCAGGTGTTCCAGCCAGACGTGTGAATTATGCCCTAAAAAAAGGACATTTCCATTTCATGCTACTTCCATCTTCACTCAAAAACAAAAAAATCTCTATCACTTTCCACTCATTTGCAAGCTCATATGATTTACAGTTGACAGCTATGGATGGCTCATGGTGTAGGTATAGGATCATAATACTGCTGCCCCTGTAGGAAAGAGAGCAGGTTGGGGACACAAGCTTCTTTGTTGGAATCCTGCTCTCCACCCTCTGTGATCTGCATGTTATCCAGAGAAGCATCCACTCCCAGGGCTGATCTTTACACCCAGTCAACATAATGGCCAGTAAGGTGTTTAAGGAAATCTGTGCATGAGACAGTCCCTTCTGCACTGCTCATGCAAAGGGGAATCTGGCAACCCCTTGCACAAGTGCACAAAACCCCACTGCTTACAACAGTATGACTGCAAGCTATAGATCCCTGGGGCAGACATGGAGTGCAGTGGGCATACAGCCTTGCACTCAGTATGTTGAAACAGAACGCTGACGGCCAACTACATTCAGTCCATATTCCAATACAGTGAGGGAAAATCCAGGCATATGAACTGATCCACTAGTTAATCAGTTACATGTATTTCCCTCCATCCAGGATGCCCACAGCGATGTACCTGGCTCTCTTTCTTCCCTCCCCCCATCCTCACTACAGCCTTGTGAGGTGGGTCAAGCTTCCAGAGAATGACAAGCCCCACATGATTCAGTGAGTCACGTGACTCAGCAGAGAACTGAACCTCAGTCTCCAAAGCAATCGTCCAATGTTCTAACCATTATACTACATTGTCATTCTGTATCAGAAGTTTGCCTTGGTTCCATAGACCATGATGGAGGCAGTAGGACTGACACACCTGAGAGATGTGCCACAACCTGGATGGCAACAATCATCTCCCTTTTTCCTTCTGCTGGAGGCAGCACTGATACCATGCACTGTTTTACAGAACCACTCAGCATTTAATTTGCATCTCATAATTTGTACAGAAGCAGAGGTCCTTTCCAAATGAATAAGAATGTCCACAAAATATTTCATATTCAGTTTAAAAATACTCTGCCTTAAGCAACGTCCTTTAGGATTTATTGGGTTTTTTCCATATATATATTTACACAAATATATTTATAACACCTGAAGATATCTGCATAGTAATATGAACATTTTGTTGTTGCCATCATGTGAAATCATTGTATAGCAGTAGGCATTTTTCAGTCACAAAACATGCAAAGTGCCCAGCCCAGAAGCGATTCTTACTTGCCTTACAATAGCATGGCACTCTTTTATTTTCTGAGCAGCAACAATCATTCCGTTGTTCAGTGCTAAAGCATTCCTAAGAAGCAAACAAAAAAAGCAAATCTATTTCAAGCTAAAACCACAGATAATTTTTTTTACCTGATCCAAAGAGATATCGAGATGAGCTGAAGTGATACTGTGAGGACACCGAAGAACTGCTAAGTGAACTGGATATGGTTGGCAGGCCTCACCAAATGGCGTCTTTCCCAAGATCTGGGGCCAGCCCAAGATATTTTGTTGCAGGATGTAGAAGACCAGAATTTGTTCATCCATTCCACATACAGAAGCTGACCTGGCCATTGAGCCGTATTCAGCTTCAGTACAGGAACATAATCCCCATCCCACCTGAGGAGAATGTGTGAAGTTCTGGAACCCACCTCTGCTTCCCCAATGGATCACCTCTATCCAGGGCAGCTTCCTCACTTTGCCTTCTGGCAGAGCAAGGTAGCTGGAGAATTCATGGCATGCGGGTTGGAATTTGGCATTCCTTGCCCTTACTCTTCCCTTGTTTTATGTAGAAATGCATTTGGAGCTTTGGGAAGAGAGAATGTTGAGTTGAATCCAGAGCTGCTCTGCCATGAATGGAAAAAATCTGTTCATTCCAGGAGGAGGCTGTAAACCAATGCAGGTTCATGGAAGGGGGAGAGGGGATTTCAGGCACATTTTCCTGCCCCTTGCAGCCAAGCTCACAACCTCTTCTGGAAGTAAGCAAGGCTGCATTTCAACCATTCCAAGATGGCTTTAGGGCAGATGCAATGTCTTGCACAGTCAGGGGAAGGGAAATCAGCAGAAAATGTTTCCCTCTACTTCACTGAGCACATGTCTGCTCATGAGTCTCTGGATTGGAAATCTGGCTTCCCAAATGTCATCAGACTTCAATTCCCATCAGTCCCAACCAGCATGACCAATGTTTAGGAGTGATGGGTCCTGTAGTACAACAACATCTGGAGGGCTGCAGCAGTAGCATTTACACATATTCTAAGAGCAAAGCAGAAGTCTTCCCGATTTCTTGTGTCAGTCCACAAATGGCTCCAGCAAATGAAGGAAAATGGAACATTTGCATTGATGGCTCTTTGAGGCAGAAAGGGCTGCCCCTTTCTTCTCTAAGTATTGAATTTTGAAGAAATGGCTGCTTTTCCACCCTACCCCACCCACCCCTGCCCTTTTCATTTGGTCATTATACAGTCAATCGTTTCCCCATATCGGAGCCCCTGACCTATAGAAAAAGTGCTGTGTTTCCATTGGCCTGGTTACTTTGCCAGCTATCCCATATGTTTATACTCAGATCTGTCCCGTGGAATTTGGACTTGATTTGCTGTCAGTTTGAGATGGAGATGGTAAACAGCAAGGGTTATCACAATAACTAGTCCCAGTATCAAGCCCAAGACAAGAGGAAGGGTTTCTTCTAACTGTTCTCTTTCATCCACTGGACATTTATGTTCTGAAATACATAAAACAGAGGGAAAGACCTTTATTTCGCTTGCCAGTGAACATAAATCTCTTCCTCGTAACAAAACACTGCTTGCTCTCCCAAGAACTCAGAGAGGATACCTGTCACCATTATCCTCACAACAACATTATGAGGTAAGTTTGTTTGTTTCTTTTGGTCAGTCTCAGAGTGATTTTGTACACAGCACATTTTGCACATTCTCATAAACACAGAGCCTTTAACATGGTGATAACGGTGGCCCCACTGGATGGACTAATTAACATAGTAGCATTGGATAGGTTAAGCTCATCTTTCTGATGAATTCTTCTGTTGTGCTTAGCATTACCAAGGGAAATTAGACTAGTTTTGTTTGCAGACATTTTTGTGCAAACTGCAGGAAACATAAAGAAGAAATGCCTTGATTCTCAGACTTATAGAGAGAGAAATACTACATATATATGTGCAGTGGTTCCCAGATGTTCTGTATAAAAAGAGAAGATTACTTATGTTCTAAGAATGTGTGGACAGAAACTTCTCTAAGACTTGTGCTCATTTGGCATGAAGAATTACCAACTGGTATAAAGGATGAGGGAATAAATTTTCATCTGTCTGAGTTGTAAGTTGCATTGTGGTGGAAAGATGAAAAGAAATAACATCATTCTTTTTTGGTATAAACTAGTATTCGTTATTTTTGTAGTTAAAGGTGTGTGTGTGTGTGTGTGTGTGTGTGTGTGTGTGTGTGTGTGGGTGTGTGTGTGTGTGTGTGTGTGTGTGTGTGTGTGTGTGTGTGTGTGTGTGTGTGTGAGAGAGAGAGAGAGAGAGAGAGAGAGAGATTACTGAAATTTGTACCACACTTCATAACATTCTGAAGTATATGCTTTTAAATGTTTGCACAGTAATTACATTTAATAAACATTTTTAAAGTAACTGAATTCAACTGTTATAGTTGCTTTTGAATATTCAGAAAGTGGAACATTTCTTGCTGAGAACTGGAATTATAATGTTAATAAACTACAGTTGGACCCATGTAAATATAACTAACTACTTTTTCACAATAATTCTGGGAAAGGTTGGAGAAGAACAGCAGTCTTTATATTTCTTCTCAAAGTTATCCTACTGGCAAAATAGATAGAACCAGAAACAAAGATAGACATCCAGTGCAGGATTGAACAAGGGCTTCACATATTTGAACTTAACTAAACTTTTGAACACTCTAGCACCCCAAACCTGCCAGACAGCAGGAACAGCGGTCCTGCTGACTGGAGGACTCTGGGCATTGTGGTATCCAGAAGAACATTTTCCAAGCCTTGATGCTTTTCAGCCAGACCTGCCACATCCAGGATAAAAGTGACTGAATTAACTACTCCTGGTTCACTATCTCCAACTAATACTTAGCTACTAGATCTTTACCTATCTGTCCAAAATAGATGAAGAAAAGACCACCAATGATACTAATTTGATAGTGGTCAAAGAAGACTTACATGCTCCCTGTGGCGTTTGACCTTGTTCCCCTGTTTATTTGGCCCTCACAAAGACTCACACCCTTTTCTCTTCTACCTACCACCAGGGATTATCCTCCTAATACTGATTATGTATGTTATACACGTGTGCTGCCGAAGCCAAGGTTTATTGAATCAGAGGTTTAATTAACATATGTTCGTTTATTGTCAAGTAAATCACAAAGGTAAATCACATAGGAACTGTTTCAGGTACTAACAAGGATTTGATTATGTATTTGGTTGTAAGTACTTTTATTCCGAACTACTATATACTTTTAATCATCTATCTTATAGTACTTATAATTTCATTCCTGCTTGTTCAATATATATATTAACCTTCTCAAATCACTCTCCTAACTCTCTCAGTTCAATTCCCTAACTCTCCTCTTCTCTCTCCTAAACCCTAACTGCTATTCCACATCCCCAACTGTCTCCCTCTGTTTAACTATCTTCCCCTTTCCTTTTTGTTCCGCCCCTCCTGTCTTCTCATTGGCTCCTCCTCTTGAGCTTCCAGTGATGGACAGGTGTGACGTGGGGGTTCCGCTACCCTCCCCACAAAAGGGTGGCCAGCTAATTTTGCACAGTGATTTCAGAGCCACTGGGCTAAGAGCCGCAAGAGGAGGAAAGAAGCTCAGAAGGTAGCAACATGGCTTATGCAGCCTCCAACATTACAATGTGCTATCAGAGCAACCTGGACAGGTACATTGCCATACCATGATCTTGCTTCCCATCTGACCTGTCAAACAATTTTTAAAAAAATCATCCCCACCTGAATCTTGATGGGGGTCTGACCCTTGGGACTTTTTTTTGAATCCCAGTGTACAAGAAAACCAAAGACAGTAACACTGGGTGATCAAGAGGATTAAAGGGAATGCAGTCTGATCAGAATTCCATGCTTCAGGTCTTTACAGAATGTCCGCTAATTTTTGATCCAATACAACTCTCAAGAGGGTAGCTTTGATAGCTGTCTGTTCTTCAACACCAACTGCAGCCAGATTTCTGTACTATTTCAGCTTGTGAGCTATGGAAAAAAGAAACTATATATCCCAGTGTAAAGCAGAGAAACAAACAAAACATCCCAACTTATGGGGTGGTGCTGGTATTGTTGCATTAGTGTCTAAACCAAATAACTTAGATAAACTGAGAGTTAAATGACTGCCATATGGTTGTGAAAGCCAACAAGAAGCCATCCAACTGATTTTGAGTTCATACATTTAAAAATAATAATTCAAAAACACTTGGGGAGATGAAGGGGGAAGTTTAAGGTCTAATACATTTGCCAATCTCTACATTAGACTAAGAAACCAACATGTCCACACAACCAAAGGATCAATGATGTAACTTGCTCTGGAGACAATGAAAGCATGTACCAACAGTGAACAAATTAATTGTTCACTGTTCTAGGCTTACACAAAAAGATTAGAGAGAGAGAGAGAGAGAATGCCATAACAGCCAAGAGAGAGAGAGAGAGAGAGAGATAGGATGCCATAACAGCCTGTTTTATACATCATGAGCTAGAGAGACAAAATTCTTCATTCTCAAACAGTAACAATTGTGAAAACAGTAAAGTTCACCAGAGTAGACCAACAAATAAACACTCCAGATGGAGAACAGGAAACACCACACAAAGCAGAGAAACAAGCAAAACAAAATTTAGAGACTTTCAGTGGTTCAAATGTATCTTTCATAAATCAATCTGTATAGTAATAATTCAAAATCACCTGATGTAAAGGCATGGCACTGTATGAAGACTTGGCATTGGCAGATTAGATA